GCTCTGCTCCACTTTCTGCACCGAGAGCAGCTCAACCAACACAGTTTACACATTACACAACTACACTGAGTGATGGAGGGGTGACGTATTCTTGTAGTGGACCCTGAAGGCAGCATCTCCCTGGTTCCATCCACAACAAGCCAATGGGATTTCTCCATGTGATTTTGGATTATTGCAGAAAATAATCTCCACATATTAACGCCACTTTATAATTTATGAAGTAAAAAGCTAATGTTGGGCTATAAAGGAACCACAGCACGGTCACATGACTTCACGTCACCACCGCTAAGCTAAAGGCGGCTAATGTTGGGCTATAAAGGAACTAAAGCATGGTCACATGACTTCACGTCACCACCGCTAAGCTAAAGGAGGCTAATGTTGGGCTATAAAGGAACTACAGCACGGTCACATGACTTCCCGTCACCACCGCTAAGCTAAAGGAGGCTAATGTTGGGCTATAAAGGAACTACAGCACGGTCACTTGACTTCACGTCACCACCGCTAAGCTAAAGGAGGCTAATGTTGGGCTATAAAGGAACTACAGCACGGTCACATGACTTCACGTCACCACCGCTAAGCTAAAGGAGGCTAATGTTGAGCTATAAAGGAACTACAGCACGGTCACATGACTTCACGTCACCACCGCTAAGCTAAAGGAGGCTAATGCTGGGCTATAAAGGAACTACAGCACGGTCACATGACTTCACGTCACCACCGCTAAGCTAAAGGTGGCTAATGTTGGGCTATAAAGGAACTACAGCACGTTCACATGACTTTACGTCACCACCGCTAAGCTAAAGGTGGCTAATGTTGGGCTATGAAGGAACTACAGCACGGTCACATGACTTCATGTCACCACCGCTAAGCTAAAGGAGGCTAACGTTGGGCTATAAAGGAACTACAGCACGGTCACATGACTTCACGTCACCACTGCTAAGCTAAAGGCAGCTAATGTTTGGCTATAAAGGAACTACAGCACGGTCACATGACTTCAGGTCACCACCGCTAAGCTAAAGGCGGCTAATGTTGGGCTATAAAGGAACTCCAGCACGGTCACATGACTTCACGTCACCACCGCTAAGCAACAGTAAAGGCGGCTAATGTTGGGCTATGAACGAACTACAGCACGGTCACATGACTTTACGTCACCACCGTTAAGCTAAAGGTGGCTAATGTTGGGCTATGAAGGAACTACAGCACGGTCACATGACTTCACGTCACCACCGCTAAGATAAAGGCGGCTAATGTTGGGCTATAAAGGAACTACAGCACGGTCACTTGACTTCACGTCACCACCGCTAAGCTAAAGGAGGCTAATGTTTGGCTATAAAGGAACTACAGCACGGTCACTTGACTTCACGTCACCACCGCTAAGCTAAAGGAGGCTAATGTTGGGCTATAAAGGAACTACAGCACGGTCACTTGACTTCACGTCACCACCGCTAAGCTAAAGGAGGCTAATGTTGGGCTATAAAGGAACTACAGCACGGTCACATGACTTCACGTCACCACCGCTAAGCTAAAGGAGGCTAATGTTGGGCTATAAAGGAACTACAGCACGGTCACATGACTTCACGTCACTACCGCTAAGCTAAAGGAGGCTAATGTTGGGCTATAAAGGAACTACAGCACGGTCACATGACTTCACGTCACCACCGCTAAGATAAAGGCGGATAATGTTGGGCTATAAAGGAACTACAGCACATTCACATGACTTCACGTCACCACCGCTAAGCTAAAGGCGGCTAATGTTGGGCATGATGACGTTTAGTCGTCTCATTTAGACATTTGTTAGCAACCGCCGTTTTTAAAATCACCAGTGGGGCATTGACTGACGTATTTATGTCGTAGAATAAAGGCGTTTTAGAACTTATCCTACTCTTGTGTGGTTAAGTGACAAAAAGGCAGAAGTAAATCAGCATTATCGGATTGTTTTTGTCCTTCACTGGTACAATAATGAAGGAAAGATTTAAAAAAATGTTGTTGTAAAAAGTGATCTGAGCACAGGATACTCTCTCTCTCTTCGGGTCTGGAGGTTTGAAGAGGCTCTTCAGATCTCATGGAGCCTCCTCAGCTTCACAGAGTTCACATGAGGGTGAAACATGTATTTTTGTACTGGAAACTGTACAGAGTGCATTAGGAGCCAGAAAGGCCGAAAATAACATGCATTGTATTCTTCACATCAACAGTAGACACATATATTGGTTCATGTGTTATGAAACATTTGTGTTTTTATATCTGCATCGTTTCTGAAGCTGTGTTTCTACTAATGGAAATGTTTTAGCTTTTGCGCCTGACTGAAAGTTAGATTTATTTTTGTGTGAGCGAATCGCAGTGTTTGATTGATGCAACAATTGTTTATTAAAACTAGGGCTGTCAAGTTAACACGTTAATAACGCGTTAACGCAAAAAAAAAATTAACGCCACCAATTATTTTAACGCGATTAACGCATGTGTATTTTTTTTCCTCGGCCGCCCCGTAGTTTCAGAGCGCATCGAGTTTAAAATACCATCTACAAGCTGATGCTGACAGCCCCGCTCCTGCCGCCCGCTTGTGGCAGACCACACTTCCGCTCACCGGCAGGCACCGACTGGCTGTTGGGAGGACCGGGAGGGTGTGTGTATGTGTGGCCCGAGCGAGAGAGAGACCTTACGTGCATTGTTGTTGTTAGCATCTGGTGCTAGCTAGCTGCGCTAACGGATATGGAGCTGTTTAAATGAAAACAGAGGAGCGACATTTCGCCACAACTGCGCCGAGCACTTGACTTTATGCAGGAAGCCAGACAGTGGGACATTGTACGAAAAGTCAGCACACTCAGCACGGATAGTGCGCAACATGATTGCAGCGTCCAAGCAGCTCCCGTTCGAGCATATGCCTTGAGTTGCACATAGCTCCAACGATCACACACACACACACACCAGGGCTTCCGCTAGGATTTTTTCTCGCCGGTCAAATGTCCGGGCAGAATTTATTTTACCGGACAAATTTGAAACTTACCGGTGATATTTCAATAATAATAATAATAAGAGTTGTGTTGCAGAGTTTCCGTTAGCAGGTAATTACCGGATTATGAGCAGATATGCTGATGTTTAAAACTCAGTTCACGGGGCTCATTTTTATATTACTTCAGTTTATAATCGTAACAGATCGAAAAAATTAATATTCATTTTTCAGTAAATGATTCCACAAACAACATAATTATTACATTCAAACAAACTACTTGTAGTAGATGAAGTACATTATTCAAAAGTTTACATTAACTTTGAATAATAAACACGGGAGCAACGGATCAATCTCTTTTCCCCTCTCCCTCCCTCTCTCTCCCTGACAGCCCGTCAGTTTCCTCATGCAGCTCCTGCAGGCTCGCTAAACAGAGGGCGGGGCTTCAGGTGATTATGCAGAGCTGCGTTGTCTCTGTCAGACTCAGCAGCTGATCTGATCTCTCTCGCGTGTCCGGTTATACTTCACTCGCGTTTATGTCCATATCGATCAGATCCAGCTCTCCTGATCGGGCTTTATAGAGAGCATCGATCAAACTATTAATAGTGAATATCGGCCGATAATGACCGGCGGCCGATCTATCGGAGCCTTCCTAATTAATACCAGACATTTTGACCGGCAGTTTTTGAATTTACCGGTTTTTAATAAATGTTACCAGCTAAAAACCGGTAATTACCGGCTAACGGAAACCCTGACACACACACACACACACACACACACACACACACACACACACACACCACACACACACACCAGTTGTATTGTATTATTGTATGAGAGGTTGAGGTTGTTGTGTTTAATATATTCATGAGAATATTTGTCATTGTTCCAAATGATAATAAAACATTAGCATAAAGCATATTTGTCCACTCATATGTTGATAAGAGTATTAAAAACTTGAAAAATATTCCTCTAAGGTACATTTAGAACAGATCAAAAATGTGCGATTAATCGCGATTAACTATTTTAATCGACTGACAGCCCTAATTAAAACCCTTTAACACAAAGTTAATCCTTGAGAGTTTATTTGCAGTTATTAAAAATGTGAAGCCACAAAGTCCATTATTTGTTGGTTGTGTTCTGACATTTCTGCGTAGAGAAAGTTGTGTGTTGGTTGAAACAGAAACTGAGCGATTGTTTGCCAGGTGGCAGCGTGTCGGGACGTAAAGCTCAGAGATATTTATTTTTCCTGAGGATCTTCCTGCTGCAGGAGCTTAGCCTGGCAGAGACACAGTCAGCTCTTAAATCATTCCTTACAGACGGACTTTATGTAACTTGTTTTTACAACATGCTGCTCCCGTGTTTGCCAGTTTAATACCAACTCTCTGACTTCAGTTAAATCCTCTTTGCTTAATCTTGATGCTGTGTTATTCACCGTAGTACATTAATCTCTGGGGAGATGTAAATACATTACGTGTTTAAGCTTAAATAATCAAAGTTGCAGCAGGAAATCTCAAACGTGACATTTGTATTTCTCCATTACTGTACATAATGCTTACGGAGCCCAAACAAAATGGTGTTTCTTTATCAAGGCAAGGCAAGTTTATTTATATAGCACTTTTCAACACAAGGCAATTCAAAGTGCTTTACAAAAAACGAAAGACATTAAGAAAATGGCATTTAAAATCAGTCATTAAAAAGAAAAGCTAATAAAATAAACATTAAAAGAAAAAAGTACATGGATAAAAGTTACAGTGCAGTTTAAGATATGAATAGTTCAATTAAAAGCAGCGACAAAAAGAAAAGTCTTCAGCCTGGATTTAAAAGTAGTCAATTGAACAATGAATCAGTATCTCCGTCATGGAAGGATTGACGGTCAGTCTAGAAAACATATATGATAACATTGTTAAACAAGATGATATATTAAGAAAGGTCACTTATTTGTAAGAGAAGAAGAGTAAACCAGCACGGCTCTCATCTCATTATATCCAAATGTGTAATAATTATTTGGCTGTTGGCTGTTTCTGAGAACTAATGAGATGCTTTTCTCCCCCCGCAGGAGAGACTGGTGTTATCAGTCCTGCCTCGTTTTGTAGTTTTGGAAATGATCAACGACATGACAAATGTAGACGACGAACACCTCCAGCATCAGTTCCACAGAATCTACATCCACCGCTACGAGAATGTCAGGTGAGGACATGAGTGTAGTTTATTCATTTAACGTGTATGTGTGTGGACAGGGGTTTTTTTCGATAAAGTTTGGAAAAATTGCTTTTAAAAAATACCTTTGAATTTGTGTTGGACATAGTGATCCGTTATGACTCATTCGGAGGGAACATTTCACATAAATGGTCCATTTTGAATTCTGAAAAAAGAAAAAGATAGATGAGGCATGCTCTTAAATGGAGAGGTGCAGGAATGAGTCCTAAAACCGTGACATGAGTCAGCATTTCAGCACTTCCTGTCTCCTGGTCTGGATATAAATGGTTTTCTGAATGTGTTTTTGGTTGTTAGCTTCAAATGAGGTCTGTGGTTAAAAGTGTTTTTACAGTTTCTTTATACGACATAAAATACGTCAGTGTATGCCCCACTGGAGAATTTTAAAACTGCGGTTGCTAACAAGTGTCTAAATGAGACGACTTAATGTCATCACGCCCAACATTAGCCACCTTTAGCTTAGCGGTGGTGAGGTGAAGTCATGTGACCGTGCTGTAGTTCCTTTATAGCCCAACATTAGCCACCTTTAGCTTAGCGGTGGTGACGTGAAGTCATGTGACCGTGCGTTTAGTTCCTTTATAGCCCAACATTAGCCACCTTTAGCTTAGAGGTGGAGACGTGAAGTCATGTGACCGTGCTGTGTAGTTCCTTTATAGCCCAACATTAGCCACTTTAGCTTAGCGGTGGTGACGTGAAGTCATGTGACCGTGCTTGTAGTTCCTTCATAGCCCAACATTAGCCTCCTTTAGCTTAGCGGTGGTGACGTGAAGTCATGTGACCGTGCTTGTAGTTCCTTTATAGCCCAACATTAGCCACCTTTAGTTTAGCGGTGGTGAGGTGAAGTCATGTGACCATGCTGTAGTTCCTTTATAGCCCAACATTAGCCACCTTTAGCTTAGAGGTGGAGACGTGAAGTCATGTGACCGTGCTGTAATTCCTTTATAGCCCAACATTAGCAACCTTTAGCTTAGCGGTGGTGAAGTGAAGTCATGTGACCGTGCTGTAGTTCCTTTATAGCCCAACATTAGCCACCTTTAGCTTAGCGGTGGTGACGTGAAGTCATGTGACCGTGCTGTAGTTCCTTTATAGCCCCAACATTAGCCACCTTTAGTTTAGCTGGTGGTGAGGTGAAGTCATGGACCATGCTGTAGTTCCTTTATAGCCCAACATTAGCCACCTTTAGCTTAGCGGTGGTGACGTGAAGTCATGTGACCGTGCTGCAGTTCCTTTATAGCCAAACATTAGCCACCTTTAGTTTAGCGGTGGTGATGTGAAGTCATGTGACCGTTGCTGTAGTTCCTTTATTAGCCCAACATTAGCCACCTTTAGTTTTAGCGGTGGTGATGTGAAGTCATGTGGACCGTGCTGTAGTTCCTTTATAGCCAAACATTAGCCACCTTTAGTTTAGCGGTGGTGACGTGAAGTCATGTGACCGTGCTGTAGTTCCTTTACAGCCCAACGTTAGGTACCTTTAGCTTAGCGGTGGTCACGTGAAGTTATGTGACCATGGCGTGCTGTAGTTCCTTTATAGCCTATCGTTAGCTTTTTACTTCAGAATCATAAAGTGGTGGTGTCATATGTGGAGATTATCCTGCTGAACTAAATGTGTAAGTATCATAACGTTCGTTTGACACAGAGAGCTTATTTTCTGCAATAATCCAAATCACCATTGGTTTTTTCCAGCAGGAGCCAGGTTGATGCTGCCTTCAGGGTCCATTTACAGAAATATGACATTCCTGCACCACTCTATTGTTGAAATACTGTCTATACAGGATATAAAGCTAATTAATGTCAATTAAAACAATGTTTGCTGATCAAGCAAATTATCCAACGTATGCTAGTTTCTGCAGGTTCTAGAAGCTAACTGACCCTGAACAGTGTTGTTTCAGATACATTATTATATATAATTCCATGTTATTATGAAGTGTTTGGATGGTGAAGAACTGGATATTGAAGTGACATTTCTATATTTTATTCAGCATTCTTTTCGCAGATGTCAAAGGCTTCACTAACCTCTCCACGACGCTGTCGGCGCAGGAGCTGGTGCGAAATGTTTGAACGAACTCTTTGCACGCTTCGACCGCCTCGCACACGTAAGAGATTTCACTAAATTCATGAGTGTTTTTTCTTTAAATGTTTGTCCCGTCCCATTTCAGCATCAAACACTCGCACTATTACAAAGAACAGTTGTGGTCAGTTTAGACCAGTGTTTCTCTAACTGTTTCATACCAAGGACCACTTAACCAATAAAAAAACACTCGCTGACCACCTAACTCCACAAATATCCAAAATCACATCGTTTTTCTAGAACAGATTACAAATCGCCTGAAAATGGTACAAACAAGTGGCAACATGTTTGATGAAGGTGTTGCGCTGGGCTATATCATGCAATCAAAAGCGAAACTTACGCTGGCTCCATTGCGGAGATATTCCCGCGAGAGTGCGGTAAACTTAAATGTATTTATTTATTTCAAATGTTACCAATATACTCACGGACCACTAGGGGGCGCTCACTGACCACCAGTGGTCCGAGGACCACACTTTGAGAAGCACTGGTTTAGACCCATTGTGTGATTTAAGTCGGAGTATATGGTGCTATTTTTATGTCCAAGTAAAGATGCCTTCAATGAGCATTTTCTGATCTGAAAGCTTTCTAATAAACTACTCAGTTTATATCTCAGACTTTAAATATACGATGTGTTTCACATTGAGAAAACACAGGATCGGATCACAATTAAACATGACATTTGCTTTCCACTCTGGTTTCTTGGGAGTTAATCTCTCTTCAGTGAAGCTAAATAAAGAAACTCCATTAGCCGCATGAATATTTCATTCAGAACAACAGAGGGAATAACTGATCCAGCGCTGTCTCATATCAGATCCAGCCGCGCTTCACCAGGCAGGATTTCACAGACTCGACAGAAAGCGTTTTCATGTTGTTTAATTGCGTTTTATAAGCCTATATATTTATATGTTCCATTTCGTAGAAGACAGAGGCGGTGCACTCAATCTTGTTTACCGAATCATTTGAAATCTAGGTGTTATTTCAGACCTTTTACTTTCTATATTTTGAATTGTATTGTAGGTGAAGTTATTGAAAGATGTGAGGATGTTCAGCAGGCATGTAAGGAGGAAACCCCAAATGATGAGATGAACTACAAAACGACACTATATTTTCCTTTATTGACGGTGACTGGACTTAGAGACTCATTTTTTAATCAAAAGACAGCTGACACCTGTCACATCATGTCAGAAAATACATTTTTAAACTCTTAAATACTTAACGACGCATGTTGTTCTGTCTTAGGGTTACTCAATCGACTACTGCAGGTTGTGTTTCGTGTGTAGTAAAAACTACAAATATTTCTGTAAATATCTTTAGATAAATCAGAAGACATATTTTATACATTCCTTTAAGGACACATGTTTGGACTACACATCCAGAGAAAGATGACACGTATAAACAA